CAGACTGTGATGGGCCACTGCAGTAGGGACGACGTCTGGCTCCAAATTGGCGCCACGAGCCTCGATCAGCAGAGATAGCGCCTGCTCCCACTGCCCGCTCTTCTCGCACGCACTGGTCACCGCGCTGTAGCTTATGATGTTCGGCTCCAGCTTTGCCTTCCGCATTTCGGCGAGCCAGCACAAGGCCTGTCTCCACTCTCCCCCTTTCTCGCACGCGCTGAGACCTGCGCTGTAGCTGATGGCGTCTGGCTCCAGCTCCGCCTCCCGCATCGCGCCGAGCAACGACAACGCCTGTTGCCACTGCCCACCTTTCTCGCATGCGCTGATCCCAGCGCTGTAGCTAACTAGCGTTAGGTCGGGCCTGTCCTCCTACAGGCGGATTTTGGACGACAATGAATAATAGTTTAACACGTACGCAAAAACAATCCAAACATCGTCTCCATACTACTACTTTTGAATATTCCTCCTGTAGAGGGACAGGCCCGACCTAAAACGAGCGTGAACCCGTGGAACATCCCACGGCTGGCAGATCACGGGGTCGGCGCCGAACGCGCACGTGCGTCGCCGATCGCAAGGCGGCACGTGCGCGGCTCTCTCTCTCTCTCTCTCTCGGGCTTTTGCCGCAGGCTCCCCGGGCTCTGGGGCCGGAGGCTGCCTGCGAGCGTCTTGAGTCTTGGGAGGGTCTGGGGTACAGTCGGACCCATGCCAGAAGAGCGTCCCTCAAGAACATGAGACCCTCCGCCGGCCAAAACAAACAGAGCATCCCAGGGTAACCTCCCCAGGGTGCAAAAGAGCATCCAACAAACACCAAGATCATCAGGGTACCCTCCCCGAACAAACCTCGGTCTTATACCTCGGTCCGACTGTGTCTCGGAGTGGTCCTTCGAGGGCTCCCGTGGCATCGACGACTGCGGGAAGCCCGCAGTCCAGTCTCGCTGCATCCTCTCTCGCAGGAGCAGGAGGAGGGGGAGGATGAGGGGGAGGAGAAGGAGGAGGAGGAGGAGGAGGAGGAGGGGGAGGAGGAGGAGGAGGAGGAGGAGGAGGAGGAAGAGGAGGAGGAGGAAGAGGAGGAGGAGGAGGAGAGCGGTACTGGAGATGGGTGGGTGCAGGCTCAAAAAAGAGGAGAAGATAGGAGAAGGCTCTCTTGTCACCCTACTCGGCGGGTAGGGGCTCGAGACGTGCCAAGGTGCCCTCGTGGGTCATCCCATGCTTTCAGCAACTCGCGGAATTCCGTAGGCCTCCACGGCCGTCGTGGGGCCCTGACGGGGGTCTGGGGCCGCGTTGGAGCTCGGCTGGGGCGTCCCGGAGGGCAACCTGAAGCTCTATCAAGCCGTCTTTGGCCAGTATTTTTTGGGGGCCTTTTTGGGCCTTCTTGGTGCGCCCGTCGGGGCCTCTCTGGCGAATTCTTCAGGCGAAGGTAAAAGTGCCTGAAACCGCGTGGGGCCGTTCGGGGCCTGTCATCGGGAATGTGCGGGAAAATGGGAAACACACAAGGTTTTGGTTTTTGCTTGGGTTTTGGCCTCGTGAGGCCGTCATCGGGGTCCTCATGGGCTTCTGGGGCCGTTCCGGGGGCCTCTGGGCAATCTTCGGGCCAGGGTGGGGGTCTGGGGCCGCCTGGGAGCCCAGTGTGGGCCCTCTAGGGCAGCTCCTGGTGCGTCTTGGGGGGCCACCCAGAACTCCAACAGGCCGTCAGGGGCTTGTCTTGGGCCCGCTTGGAGCCCGTGTGGCCCGTCTTGTTGCGCTCGTCGGGAACTCTTGAGCCATCGTGGGGCGATCGCGAGCATGCCTGAAGCTGCATGGGATCGTCCTGGGCCCGTCATGGCGAGAGCGCGGGACACATAGGAAAACACACAGATGTTGCTTGACTTCTCGTCTCGTGGGTCCGTCTTCGGAGTCCTCGTGGGCAGTGCCGGGGGCCCCTTGGGCCATCTTCGGGCCATGATAGGGGGTCTGGGGCCGTCTGGGAGTCTTGCTTGGGCCCTCCCGGGCAACTCCTGGGGCATCTCGGGGGGCAACCCGAAGCTCTGTTAGGCTCCCCAGAGCCTGTTCTGGGCGGTCGTGGTGCCCTCGTGGGCCGCCTGGCACCCCGAGCGGTGTGGGGCCGCCCTGGGCCCGTCATGGGGACCGAACGAACTGTTGTTTGGAAATACTTGTTTGCTGTATTTCCAACCAGACGCACAGCAATGAATCTGGAATCCCACTCCAAGGCAGCAACTCACGAGCGCGTCACAGATTGATGTCCAAAAGGTGAGAAACTAGGACATATGGTAAACGTTTTCTGCTGCGCGCTTGCCCGCGCGCTCGTGGCGTTGGCGTCATGGGGAGAAGGTGGAACACCTTGGAACATGCACGGTTGGGGCTTGTCTTTTCCGCCTTGAGGGGCCGTCATCGGGGTCCTCCTGGGCCGTCTTGGGCCGTCCCGGGGGCATCTTGGGCCGTCCTGGAGCCACGTTGGGGGCCTCGGGGCGTCTTGGAGCTCGAGTTGGTGCGTGTTGGGCAGCTCCTAGGGCCCTCTTGGGGCTGTCTTGGGGTCCACTGGGAGCTCTGTGGGGCTGCCTTGGGCCTCCCTTTCAGCAATCTTAGGGCCCTCTGTGGCCGTCGTGGAGCACCTGGCGGGGCCTCCTGGACCGTCTTGGGGCGATCTGGGATGGCCCTGCAACTGTTTGGGGCCGTTCGCAGCCCGAAATGGCAAGAGCACGAAAACGCTTCGAACACCTACGGGGAATCCATGATGTGGGCCTCGGGGGACGATCGTGGGGTCTGGCTGGGTCGTCTTCGGAGGCATCTGGCCGTCCTGGGCTGTCATGGAGCTCGGGCTCTCTTGGGGCGTCCTCGCGCCCTCCAGAGCGTTTTTGTCGGATCCCATGTTCGGGCTGCCCGAGGCCGTGTTGGAGCCACCGGGGGG